TCCAAAGTGTTCCGTTCCATAAATTCAACGACTTTATGGGTCTTCTTTTCCATTTAAGCTGCTACACTTGAAATTGTTTTAGGGTACATGTAACGTGAGAAATTCATGTTCATTGACGATGATTGGTATTTCTTGTATGCCATTTACAATGTTGAGCATTTAGATAGTTGTTTGTGGCTTCGTCCAGATTTTAATTTGGTGAAAGTTGTGAAACGATTTGGCGTATGACTTATTTAGTAATATTTGAATATTAGTGCAAGAGCGTGCCGACTGTGGCGCAAGCGTACAGGGTTACCTAGCTGTACCTGAGAGAACCTCAGAGGAGCTAAGCGGGAATGCAAATGAAACTGCAGAGTACATAAGATTTATTATTACAAATGTTCATATATTTCTTCATTACAATATCTAATGAAGTGAAACGTTTTATCTCTTTAGATTATATTGATAAAGATATGAAATTGCATAATCATTCGCAGTTTATTTATTGTTTAATACTTTATACAAATTTTGTCATCTATAAAATTCGAATAAATAAACATCGATATTAAGAGAGTGATGTCAAAAAGTTGAAATGAAAATAATAAGAAACGATAAAAATTTCTAGAGAATTTAAAGATTGTATAAAACATTTTATTCAATACTGACATCGCTGTCAAGAAGGCAATTCAATACTATGGTATTTACATAAATATACTTAACATCTATATATAATAAAATATTTACAATTTTTATATCAAGTTGAAAAAATAAATTAGCTACTGCTGAACCAATCCGAACCCATCGCTCCGAAAAATGCCGCTGCTCCAGATTTGATCGTCGCTCCGGCTGAATCATTTTTCGTATTTTCCTTGTTAGTAGATTTTTTGCGCTATATTAACACATACAAAACACTGAATTAAAACTTTGCACTATTCACGTGGAAACCTGAAACTCATATATTGTTACAATAACATCAGCCAAAAATTATAGTACATGAAATTAACGCATTTCTAGCATATGCTTGGTTACTCTGTTAATTAAAAATCAGTCTATTTAAGCAAAAGATGTAACATCGTTTCCTTACCGCAATCAAATGCACGAGCTATCTTATCTGAATACTCTGGCAATCTAAGGGTACATATGCATTTAAATGAAACAAACATTCATAAATAGGCGATAGGAACAATTTTACAAACTACTATATTTAAATGGAATTTTGAAAATATACTTAGAAAATTTCCAAATTTAAAGAGCAGATGTCTACCTGTGTCTTTTCTGGTAAAGTTACAGCAACAAGAGGCAAATTTCTTGCTGGAGTTGTTACTGTTAAAGGTGGGAACCATGGCGCTCCAGTGCATAAAGCCAGGACTGAAGGTAAATCCGATTTCACGCTTTCAGCATTACTGTATTCGTTTCGTGCTCCTAAAACCGAGTGTAATTGCTCCAAATGAGGTACTAGGTTTCCTAATATGAGCTACAACCAAGAAATATTTAGAACATAATTATACAAATACATTGATTAATAGAATACCAAAAAAATTGGACAAATATTTACCAGTGATCTTTGAATGCTTTTCTTTACGTTAGCGTGAATGAAAGGGTTAAAAACATCGTAATCGAATGGATCGATTTTTGACAATATACTGTCAGAAACTTTGGTTGATAATTCTGATAAAATTTTATTTTCACGGGGTATCATAAGTAGACTAGAATACTTTATATCGAATAATACTTGGAAGGCTTGTTTCTGAGAAAGGCTCGTATTGCTTGACGCGATTAGGTAATAATTTAGTAATTCCGTCACAACGTCTTCTATAATTTCATGTAGCACTTTTCTATGATAAGAAATTAAAATTAAAAATGTTCATAAAATTTAATTCATATAAATTTCAAAACTTACTTTGGAAGAGTATGGGGTATTACTTTATTCAAATCTTTATTAATAGCAGTTAAGAATTTCTGTAACTGTATGGACGGTTGATGTGGTATTAAAATTTCTGACTTCATTCTTCTGCCCTCTCCAGAATCCTCTTCGATAATTACTTTCTCCCATTCCGATATAATTAAATGTATTGGATAACCGTCCAATGATTCCTTCGATATAAATTTTTCCTTGTGCTCACTTATCCTAACTTTGTACGTTTTAGCCCAGATTGACCAAACAAAAGTGCTTTCTTCTTTCAATTTATCACAAATTGATTGCCATTTGGCGTTTGTTATAGTCAACCCTGACACTTTTGAAAGTGTAAAACATTTATTCAAATTCGAACTTAATGTTGTCAATGCTAGAAGAAACCTTGCTGTTACAACAGCATTTATATTACGTTGACCGTGTTCAGGCTTATCATTTACACATGTTGTCTTTGCAAAATTGATAAAATCTTCAATCATGCCGGTACTGGTAATTTGCAAATGTTCTTGAATTTCAGCACGATCAGAAAATGAATTTGAAATTAAATATATATTTGTGGATAATAGATTGTCCTTGATAGACATAACGCGCTCTGTTTCGTACAAATATTGCTCGAGATCTTCCAGTAGAGCGTGCAAATTTGAGTCAAAATTTTCACATAGCTTCAGAATATTTGGTGAATATCCTTTGGTTTTCATTAATAGAGATCTTTTATTATCTAAGCCACCATTCTTGGTGAGCTTTTGAGGAATGTCACTTGGAGAGTCTTTCCAAACAAACCATCGTAGATCGTGTTCTGGATACTCGAATTTATCGTGAAGTACTTTACCCAATAGTTCAATCATGTCAGACTTTAACGTAGTAGTAGTTTCCATCCATTTATCGTCTATGATACCTAATAAAATATTAACAGTGTTACTACGTCCAATTTAATAATAATAAACAAACATATTTTATATTTGTATCTATGTTATATACGTTTTACTCTATGCGATATTAAAGGTTGAAAGAATTCCACCCAGAAGGTTATTTTTGGAAGAGAGAGTTCCTCCCATATTGAATTCCAATTCTCAGGTAGATTAATGCTGACAGCTTCTTCACGGACATAGTATAAACCTTTTATGGATATTATTAAATCTAAAAGTTTCGTAATTTCACGATTGCAAAATTCAGCTACCCAATCAAGCCAGGTTTTGATGCTTTTTTGAAGATCGAGTATAGAGAAATTTTCAAAAGTATGTGTGACAAACGGTTTGTGTTGTTTGGTCACAAGAGGAAGAAATTCCGTCAATAATTCTTGATTCAAATTTAATTGAGAGAGCAGATAGTATGTTTCTTGGTCTTGAATTTTTGTTAAGTATTGTGAAACAAGACCTCCTGACTTTCCATCTGAATCTACAATTAATTATTACTCAATGCTGTATTGTAACGCAATATGTTCTATACGTATGAAATGTATCACTTACTTATGAAGCAAGAATAAATCAAACTAATCGTTTGAATCAATACTTCAATACACGATTTTATTTTCTTTTTGACACTATTATCATTTTCGTCTCTAACAATAGATTCAACCGCATGATTACGCATTGATATTAATTTATCTAACAAATCTGAGGACGAAGTTCCATTTAACAGTACAAGTGCTGCTAGACAATTTGCTATGCTCTAAAATCAGAATGTTACTTTATAATTGCAATTTAATTTATAAGACTATTATAAAATGGATATACCAACCCCTGACTGTACATTCAATGATTGTAACACATTGTTACATTCATTGAAGATAATAGTCTTGAACTGACTAATAACATCCCATTGCTTAGATACAATTGGGTATTTAAGTACTAAGTCTGTGTTTCCCACTTCAAACAATAGACTATAATTTATATGTTGAGCTACTAAATACAATTGTGTAGCAAATAATAAGTCCTTGTTCTCAATACTAGACCAAATATATTGAGGTATATCCATCAAGATTTTTATTTGAATGATAACTGAATCTTGACTTGCTCCATTATTCCTGTGTAAAAATATAAATGTTACATACAACAACATTATATGTTATTTAAAAAGAAGAAAATTATTACAAATACCTATCATCTTCATTCTCAACTGAATTTATTTTAAATCCAATAAGGTACTTTTTTTGTAATTCCCTGAATTTGTCTTCGATATTAATTATTCTTGATATAACTCTCTCAGATGTTATCTTCATTTTCCCAATTGTGTCTGCAGCTAATATCAGATCACGATACCTTTCCCTGAAAAAGATTTATGCTTGTAATGAACGTACTCGTAGATCAAATTAATAACCCTACGACAGCAACTGTTGTACTTATAGATTTCGTCTATTGAATGACAATTTATTGATTTCACTAAGCAAATCCGTGAATATCAATCACACAGAAAATAATAACCAATTACTTTAAGTCATTAAAACAGAACTTTACCCAACTAAAGTTCTAAGCTCAATCTTTTTCCTGTCGCTCTCATACTGAATCTTCTTTTGAATCCCTTCGATCTCCTTTATCGTGTACTCCTCGAACAATTTATTAATATCCAGATCCAAGTAATTCGTGGCTGTCATCTTTCTCACAATTCGTTCCCACGTATCCTGATGTTTCCACGTAGCTACGATTCGTTTTGTATTTACATCACACTCTTACCTGCAGCGTTCTGCGACGCGACTGTCAATCGAGTGTTAGATGTCAGCACGTGCATTTTCCTCCTATTCTTGAACGATAACATACGCGTCACCTTAAATCATTTTATTCCTTTTTTCTTTAATTCTCTATTGCAAACCAAGAAAACTTCCACGTATTATACAAAATATCGTACGTGCGTTGCGAACGCGTGTCATTGTATCAAAGTCGTCGAGAACAGACATTTGACAGCGCTAATTCAAATTTGCATTCGTAGTTGCATTTCTCACGACATAACGTGAGCCTTCATTTCGAAATTTCGACGAAACGTTCACTTTTGGCAGAGATTTTAACAAATGTTCCGAACGATTGGGAACGTGCTATGGTGTGCACGCGACTACGCAGTCGCCGAAGCACGTCACCTTACGACACGATGCCGAACTACGGGACGAGCACGCGAAACGCCATATTGAGCGAATGTTGATTGAATGCAATTCAGGTGTTTACGCGGTTTCGAGAAAAACCCGTGGGAATACACATCAGTTGTCGCGTAGCCGGATTCACGTATCGGCGAGCGACAGGTACGGCACGACAGCGGTATCGTTTGGACGACAGAATGAGTGGCAGCAAAGGCGAGAGCGATCAGTGCAACAGGATAAGAGAAAGCAACGTAGTAGCGATGATGGGTGATGTTCTCGTTGAGAAGAATACTTGCTGCGGTGTACACGTCCACGCTGAGGACGAATTCACGCAACAGGAGAACGAACGGACTGTTAATTGCACGGAGGATGCTGTTGGGTCTCCCGTTGTTGCGGACTCTGTTCCTGCCGCGGTATGTTTCCCCACTAGTGAACACCGTTTTGCCTTCACCCTGCACCAACGATCGTCAATCGCAAATAGACGTTCTACTTGCAGAGTGTGACAATCGACGAAAGCGTGGTCGAGCAGTTTATGAAGGGCGCCAGGGCTCCCAACAGCGTGGAACCGAACGCGATGCAAACGAGGACCGAGACGCTCATTGAAAATCCAAGCACCGCTGCGAACGTGGACAACCCATTCAGGGGTGAGGAAATGTGCTCGTCGGATTTATGCAAAGCGAAAAGGTAATTGTCACGTTCAGTGGATAGAGAGCACGATTGACCTGATCGTACGATTTTAATAGTTGATTTCAACGCAGGGAACTACTTAGAGAAGAGTTGCAGAAAGCCATGAAGTTCCAGAACCTATGGACAGAGTTACGTCAACATATAAGGGATTCGTTTAACGTTGCCTTAGAAGCTTCTCGCATTCCCGGAGGCTTGCAATTCCATCAGACGCCATTTTCAGCAGACGACACGCACAAAATTGTACTGCAGTAAGTTTGAGGCAACGATGGTCGATGACTGTAGCTTGGATATTTTCGCGTCTGTACGTGGCATTTTCTTTTTCAGACTGTATAAAAGGAATCCTCATCAGTTATTCATAAAGCTAGTAAGCCTGGCACAGGAGTTTGTTGTAGAAGTAAAAGTTCGATTATTAGCTCTTCTACATGATCTTAGTGTAAATAATTTAGCAGAAATTTTTCTTATAGGTTAATATAAATATAATATACTCGAATATAACATACTTTGTCACTGTCAATTGGCGCAAGTGTTAGTTTCATGTTGTGTCTTTTTGTAGGTCTTTTAGATGATTATGATGCATTGATAACAACAGCTGTAAAGATTTCTGAATTTGTGAAGCTCTTAAAAGATCATTTGGGCAAGTTCAACTACGAGTTTCCTTTGCCTTGGGCTGCTTTTATTAAAAAGTTATATCAGATTTATATATATGATGACCCATTCATACAGAACAATTTGCCTCCTTTCATTGGCCAGGTAAATAAACTTGTTAACTATGTTAACATTTTAATTTCTTTACAATGTCCAATAGACACCAAAATACATATCTTAGATTTTACAGTTAAGGAAACTTTTGCCTTTGAAAGGCTCGGAATATCAACGGCTCGTTCATCGGTATTTGTGGTTTGATAAGGAAATGACGGTAATTAGAGATTTATGGGTGGAAACCGAGTCGTGGATGGACAAGTACAAGTAAGTGATGACATGAATTATATTTTAGCAATAATGTAACTATATATCGATTGATCACAATCCCAGGAAAGAAAATCTATGAACAAAGTTTCATAAGCGGTGCGTATTTCAGTGTAGAACAAGCATATCGAATGATCCACTTTAGGCAAGTAAGGGAAGTGTTCACAGCAACTAGAAAACTTGTGGAACCGCGTGTATTAAATAAATCATCTGCTGTTGCAAAGTATGTCGAGAATATATTGCTTTGTATATATTTATGTATCAATGATTCGATTTTTTTTTTTTTTTATTCCAGTGAATTACAAGAAGCGGATGGACAACTTTCGACATTTACGTCGCAAGAAAAAGTTGGCATGTCAGAAGTGGATAGTAGGCCTTTAAGCCCCACACCGGATTTAAGTTTAGACTCGCCCAATATGCTTCCAAGTATCGAAATTTTGCAAATTTTATTGGACGACTGGAGCAAGATTATGAAATCTCTTCGTCAGAAATTATCTGATGTGGCAGGTACGCAACCTTCCACGGATATTTATGCTAATGGACAGGAAGATTTCTTTGACTATGCGTGCGCGACTTGCCACTTAGTACAATCTGCAATTAGATCAGTCAGGTACTTACCGCCGTATTCACAATGGCTGTAATCGTTTTCAGTTTTTGTTTTTAATTTGCGGATTTTTTTAAAGGGCGCATATTGAAGGAACTTGTTTAGAGAATAATATAGACGAAGGGAAAAGCTGTGAATGTCATATGTGTATAGGACCTGCAATATCTTCTACTGTAAGAACACTTTTGTTTCTTTATTGTTGTTCCTATCAGCATCAGTAATTAATTGAATTGACTTGCAGGTTAATAAAAGCGACGCAGAAAATATGCTGTTACCGTTAGAAAATCCTTTCCCGCAACTAACAAATGGCTTCTTAGGTAAAAACTGCTGAGATATAAAACTAGTGTAATTTATGTCAAACACATTATTTTATTTCATTTTATTGCAGAAGACACGGCTAATTTCTCGGCAACGCAGGTGAAGAAAAAGATTGAGAATCTAGAAATAAAGGAGATAAAAAGTGACGACAACGAAGTGAGAAATGCAAACGAAGATGTGGATTTAAGGACGTCTGATGCTCAGCCTTGTTCATGTGTATATCAGCATGTGAGGGAAATAACTGAAAGAAAAATGGTATTAGAAAACCCACCTTGTTTGTGTTTACTGAATTCCAAACGCAAGATATGGGATACCTGTCCCTGTCTAACAAAATGTAAGTACAAAAAAGATCTTATTTTTTCATATTATTAAAATTGTAATATAATGTTTGATAATGTTATCAGCTGTATTTGAACCCATTGTACCGAATGGCCATCCGAAGCCACCGTCGCCTTCTACCGTGAAGGTTAATCAAGAACCAAATAAACCTGCAGTAAAAACTGGTTCTATGCAGTCTGCTCAAACACAAACGAGACATTCTACAACGCAGACACCGAACACCGCTCATAATCATACACCGCATCAAGGTAATTATATATGTTCAATCATTGCAATTAATCGTTTCATACCTAATTTTTAAAGTATTTTTCAAATAATTTATTAAAAAAAAAAATGTAAAGAGCTCATTATATATATGTAATAATATGTAATAGAGCTCATATGTAATTATTTTTGGACTTGAATAGGTACCACTCATTCACACTCTCATGGGCCTCTTCCAGATTTGGTAAAAAACACGGGTTCTACTCATAGATCTCATACACATAGCAATCATTCGTCGCATGCCTGTCACAAGCAGGCTAATGTCGAGCACATTAAGAGAGTTTCATGTAACGACTGTCAGTATTTATTAAACTATTTTTCTTATTTTTTATTCAAGAATAATTTTCTTATGGAAAAATAATATCTATGAATATGCCGTATTATTTCAGTAAGTTCCGGGGATGGAGATTGTTCGGATTCCGGAAGTAGTCAAGAGGATTCTTGTTCCACGAGTAGTTCTGCGCAAAGAGATTCGAGCAGACATTGCGACTGTTGTTATTGTGAAGTGTTTGGCCATGGAGTTGTAAGTAGACTTTATTATTTGGACTTTACGCATAACCTGAGGCGCCACATTAACACCAAACTTACCGACACTTCTTGTATACCTGTTCCTAGGTAAAAAAAGGTTCCTAAGAAAAGTTACTATTTTTACAATTGAACGTATATATTAGTCAATTTAATACTGCATTAAATAATAAATAAAGAAACTTTCAGTAAAAAAAAATTAAAAATGATCTGTAATTATATAGTTTCTTCCAATCAGATACACGATATATTCGCGTACATACACATTATTTCTAAATATATAAATAATTATAAGTCGTCGTTATAAACGACTAGAAATACTGGGTATTTTGTAGTGAGTTGAATGTTATAGCACTGGACTGTGGACGGCTTGTTCAACGTAATTTGAAATTGATAATTGAACACGAATGAATAATTGGAGAATCACGATTTGACGTGAACTGGTACAAGTACGATACCCAAACTAACAGCATTTCCACGAGGATAAAATAGAATCTTCTTGAAAATTTTATTGATTCTGACCGAGAAATTGCTATTTCTGCCCGCGCGGCCGCCCGCGAGCCTGTTTTTACTAGAATGTGCACGTTCTGTACATGTTCTTATTTATTCCATTGTACGATGATCGGTGATCAGAGAAAATGCAATCTTTACATTTCCTTTCATGATATGTCATTTAACATATCTTGTCTGACCGAACACTTCTCTAAAAATATTATGAACTGGTGTTCTTGCAGGTTTGGAACCTTTGTCTGTTTCTTCCTAAACTGTTCCGTCAGGAGCAATTTCGATATGTTGGTTCTTTAGATCACTCTCACTTTCAGAAGTAAATAATAATTTTCTTATTTGCTCTCTTCGTTTATTTATAATGTTCTTCTTTCTTTTATTGCTGTCTGAGGACACTTATTCGTCTGTTGTAAATAGGTCATCATCTCTTTCCATGTTGTCTTCAGTTTTGGGAAAATCGTGTTTGAATACTCTTCATCTACGTTGTTTATTTTCTCTAATAACTTTGTATTTTTGAAATGCCTTGACATTTTAGGATAAATATTCTCCATAGAATAATGCACTATGTACGAAATACAAAATTTACGTCAAAGTACTGCTGGTTTACTTTTTTTTTTTCAAATTAGCACTTATAACATGAGACGCAAAGAAAACATTTTAGAACTTATATACCTTGATGTTCTTTCCTGTAGTTATAAAATTGTACTTGTTATAATGTTGTTATAAACCATGTGTGTACTCGATAGCATCTCGTTCACACAATGTAATATGTAACATCATATTTTTGTCATATAAAAATAAAACATTTAAATATCACATTTTCTCGACCAGACAAATTGATCGGTCGCCGTAGATAGAGCAGGCTACATATATTTTTCGGAAAAACAAAACGAGAAGTAAATATTACAACGTATATATATTTTTAAAAAAGTCGTAAAGGTCAATAGCGATGTAATAATGTTTAAATATGTGAAAGTTGTACAAAAGTTTGAAAATAGTCGATTTGACCGGTCGTGATAGGTTTAGTGTTAAACGAATTTTTTTTTTCAGCCTTCGGTAGCACCAGTTAGTAGAAATTATAATGAAATGAGAGAACGGTTACGGCAATTGCTAACCAAGAAAAAAGCTAGAAAATGTAAAGCCACGTGTAGTCCTTCGAAAAGTCCGTCAGAGTCGGTAGTATCTGATACGAGTACAGAAATGAAGGCAGTGACGAGTTCCGCGCCAAGATTGAACACTCCAATTTCAACTGCCCCTGGAATACAATCAGATCAACGAGATCAGAGAGATCTGGAAGAACTGCTTGAATTCATCGAGGGCAATCAAAATGGAAAGAAAGATAACAACAAAAAGGCCGAAAAGAAAGCTAGGCAGAAACAACGGAAGGTGAATATAAATTAAGATTAATCTTTCGTATATGTGTAAAGTTAATTAAATTTTTGATTATTTATTTGTTATAGTTGGAAGAAAAGCTTAAAAGAGATAGACAAGAGGCTGAAAAGCAGAAACTAATAGAATTACAAAAAAAGACACCGGAAGTGACGATTACCGTCGTAGATCCTCAGAAACCTGTTCCTCAAAGATTATTACCTCAGTGTAACCTACCCGAAGTATCTATTTTACCTACTTCACCTCCAGTAGCATCACCGACTGTAAAGCAATTAAATAATAAAAAGAAAGACAAGCAAGAAGTCTGTAGCAATAGTAGTAATACTAGTAGCAGTAGCTGTAGCAGCAGCAGTAGTAGTAGTAGTACCAGTAGTATAAATAGCAAAACAAAGACTGCACCTGTGAATACCAATGTAAAGAGTAAAAACGTTAGTAAAGCCGATAAAACAATGGCCTCTAGCCAAACGAATAATAAAACGGCGATCAAAAGTGATAAACCTGAAACTAGTAATAAGATTAACAAAATACAGATAACTAGTAGCAATAGCACAAACACGAAAACTAATATTACGGAGAAATCACTGACCGTCGATTTGGATGATAAAAAATTGACGAAGAAAGAGAGGAAGAAGTTGAAAAAGAAAATGAAAAAAATGGAAGAGGTGAAGGCAAAAGAGGAGACAAAGAAACCGATTCAGACAGAGACTCAACCTCAGATTGTAACGATTAAGAGAGTCATGGAATCTAACAGCGCAGAACCAACAGTCACGATTACATTGAAGGGTCAAACACCAGCTGAAGATAAAGTTTTATTCACATTAGTGAATGGTCAGACGAAAGAAGTCGCCAGCTTGAAACTGGAGAACGAACAAAATCAGAATGTCAACGGGAAGAAGAAGAAAACAAAAGCAAATAACAATAATAGCAACAACAATAACAACACTAATCATAATAATAATAATTCGTTGCAACAAGGAAACAAACAGCAGCAAATGAACAATTCGAAACAACAGACACAGAACAAAATTTGCGATAGCAAGAGTAACACGAAACAACAGTCGAACAATGAAAAGAGCAAAGGAAAACAAGTAGATGAGAAAAAGGTTCAACAACAGAGTGTTACTGAAACAAAAACGAAATCCAAAAAAGATAAGAAAAATACAGAGAATAAGGAGAACGTACTGCAACAGAACGTTGTAAATAAGAGTAAAAATCAATCGCAGAATGTAACTGGAAAGAAGCAGAATAAAGTCAATATTCCATCTCACACTTCAGTTTCACAAAAGCCAACGCAGAATTTGAATATCAGCAGTGACAACAAGAAGACAAAAATACAATTGCAAGGCAAAAGTGGGCAGTTGAGTTCCACCAAAAGCAATAAAAATACACCTACTACTATCACTATTAAACAGATGAAGAGCGATAACCAAAAAGTTCAAAATAAAGTGATAAACCAAACAACTATCAAGCAGCGACCGGAGATACAATCGGCATCCACGGAAAGGGTTAACTCGCCTCTGAGCAGTCAATTTAAAGACATTGGCGCGAATTCGAAGATCAACATAGAAAATTTAAAATTACCGCCCGGTATTACGATAACAAAAGTCGACGCTCCTGCGAAACCCTTGCCAATAAGATCAGCACCATTGCCTAAACCAGTAAATCCGCCTAAACAAACTACGATAATCGCTGCGCCGATGAGCGGCGTTCAGTCTAGTTACGCGAGTTCTCAAGCCGGTGGTAACGTAATCGTGGTGGATACCGGGAAATTGAAGCAGGATCTTCTACCCAAATCCGCGGAAAAAGGTAAGATGGAAACTACTTGATGTCTTTATTTGATATTTTATAACCATATAATTTTATATCTCTGTAGTAATATCGATATTTCATCACAGATATGTCTAAAGAAACGCAACAAAGTCAAAGTACTAGCAGCAAAAAAAAGAAAAAGAAAAACAAAAATGCATCGAGTTCTGGCAACACATCAAACCAATCAACGGTACAAAATAGCGATCCTTTCATGAACGATCATTCGGACGAACCTGCGAGAATACTTCACAATCCGAATACCAACATGGTTACCATAAGAAACCCAGCATTTGGTCCGATGAAAGTACCACCTACCCAACAGGCGGCCATTATAAAAGTATCAGAGAACGGTATGGTCACAATCAGGAGTCCCGCGTTGCAACAAGCGATCAACGCTGGTCTAACGTCGCCTCCAAAACCGGATTACATCGTGAAAGGTGATCTGTCGTCAAAAGCGTCGACGGAAAATACAAATCTGAAACATGCTAACGGTATCATTCCGTCGAGTTTGGCGGAACTGAGAAGTAGACTGACACCGGACTGCACGACTCTAAACGGTTTGGCTAACATACAGATCAGCAAAGTGACGAATGGTCAGCCTATACCAGAGAATGGAATCAACTTAAAAGGGACTAGCGTGACCTTGACGAAAGTGAGGACGGAGCCTAGCATGGAGGACGTACAAAACGCAAAAACGGCGGTCCGAGAAGCGATAAACGCCTCGATAGCGGTGTCATCCAACGGCAAGAGCAAGAAAAAGAAAAAGCGTGGAACCGGCGCAAGACAATGCGGAGATGACTGGAACCTCGTTGGTGAGAAACAACAATAATCAGAGTTTAACATGTAAATTTGCTTCTTTCATTTTTTTGTTTTCCTTAACACACCCCCGGGCTGCGTTTCTCGCTCCCGGTATGAGACAGAACTATTCTCTTTCTCTTTTTTTTTTTTTGTTCAATTCTTTTTTCGTTTTTTTTACTTTTATTTTTATTTAAAAATGAATGAAAGACTAGCATATGTACATAAGGAAACATTACTTAGAGATAATGTACATGTATATATATATACATGTACATACATAATGTACATGTATATATATACATCGTACACACTGACATAAAAGTATTTAAAAAAAAAAAACTGGACGTATAAGAGTGTAGGTTGAGTCAAACTGACGACGGTTTTTCTTTCGTTTCGTTTTCCGTCAGGACAGGACAGTGTACCGCGTTAGGACCAAGTCTCGATCGCAGGCTATAGCTCGAAAGAGAGAAAATTTAATCGAATGTACCGGGGATGTATACACTTCGGAATCTCCTCGAATTGGCCACCACGAATTTCTCGAGGGATTGTCCGGAAGAGAACTCTGGCCAGTGAGCACTATCTTTTCTTTATTTTCCTTCGCGCGCAACGACTTCATATTTTCAGTTCGACCAATCAGGTGACTGTTTCATCGAACTTTTGTACTATTCATAATAATCACATTCACTACATAACAAATTACTACTCGATTTTAGTATAGCATATAGTCCTTTTACTCTATATTTTAGAGATGTTTCGATTGACATGTATCTCTCTTGTATTATATTTTCCTTTTTTTTTTTTTTTCTATTTTCTTTCTAGTTGTACATTCTTGAAAGTTATATAATCGCGAAACGCATTTCGACGTTTGAGCATGACGTTTTCATAGAGAATACTTCGCGTATATAAATCGCTATACAACTATTAAATGAAAATGGAAGCTTTTAAGTCGATCGTGTACCACGAAAGAGGGGAAAGGAAAGAAAAATAAAGATAAAGAAAAGATACGTAGATCACTCAAAAGAGCCACGCTTTGCCAAGTACATTGACCATGACAACGAGTTAACCTACGGCTACTCTACCTGAAATCTCGAATTGTGATATATTTGACCGATCTTGAATGATTGATCGAGAGTATCAGAGTATACGAAAAATAATTTTTTAATCACGTGTTTCAATAAAACAAGATCTATTTTTCCACTATTACGATCTCTTATTCCCTGTTGTGTTTCGAGAACCGCTGTATTACAAAACATGGGAAAGAAGCTGTTGCATGCTTATGGATCACGTGAAGCGTTCTCTTTTGTCATAGTCGAAGACGATGTTTTTAGAAATTGAGATCGTCTCTTCCAATTCTCGCCCCGTTTCCTCTCGAATCTTTAATTGAGATTTGCCTCTTGTTCCTTCTTGTGCATCCATCAAAATTATGACTTTATTTCTAAATTTCTTTACCTTTATTCTACTAACTTATTGTCACGTTTCTTCATTACGTATTACCCATGATCCAATGGTATTAAAGAACAATACTTGTTATATTAAGAAAGGTAAAAGATAAAAAAAAGTAGAGAGTTCTAAAGACACAGCCAAAATGAAAAAAAAAAGAAAGAAAAAATCAGATTTTTCCCTAATACCCACCAATTTCTAGTATTCAGAGCGTGTCTTTTGCAGAGAGCGTATTCACGCCCAAAGATATAGACCTTGAGGATGGAGAAATGGATGATGCGGAGCGGGAGCTAGAGGCGTTCAAGAGGTTTTGTCTCCAATCGGTGCCGCCACCGCGCAAAGAGAAGGTCAATCTCAACATCAAGGATATCGTGCTAAAGAAGAAATCATCCTCATCGTCATCGGCGGCTGCCACTGTGATCGCCGCGAATTGATTTCTCTTTCAACTAACATTAGTCGCCCCCTACCACTTCTACTACTACTACTGCTACTATTACTACTATTATCACTACTACTACTATCACCATCACCACCACCATCACAATTGCTGCTACTATGCTCGCGCAAGCGCGTGTGTTGGCTTGACGCAGAATTAATAGGAATTTTTGAAGCCAAGGAATTATTTTATTTTTTAAAGGAGACACACTATCATAGATCAGACAATAATATATTATTGATATAATACAATCTATGTTGTTAAATTGTCTGGTGATTATTTTATCCAAGAATGTATTATTTCCATGCGGGAAACGTTCTGCGTGAGGGGTGTTTCGATTACGTGGTGCGGTTAATTTCAATTTGCCGGTACGTAGATCGTCATTGCACACGCGCGGAGTGTCGCTGTTTTTCGGGCGAAATTCGATCTTGAGGATCGTGATCCAACTATGAGAAACAAGCAAGGAAGAGCACGTATGTACGATGCCCTTTCGTGCAATTAGTCGTTAAGGGAATTCTGCTATTTTTGCATCGAGCCAATCACCGACCGAACGTGTACTGTAATACTGCCACGGCCGACGCGCGTGAACGCACGACGGACCGGAGAAACTCTTGCCGATTTCCCGGGTCCCGGCGATGGGATTGCGCCTAATTGTTACGAACGATTATCAAACGAGGAACAAGGATATGAACAATACATGAACAAGGGCAACCACCGTAGATCGGCAACGTTGTGTAACGAGGAGGAGTAATAACATTGTCGATCGTGTCGTCGTCGTCGTCATGTCGGCGCCTAGTCGACTTCGTATTTTTAATATATTAGTAGACGAACATGTCAAACTCGCGTTTCTCTTCTTCTCCGTGATCACGAAGAGGCGAACAGCGAAAAAAATTGACAAATACGTAGAACGAATGCAAGCGAGAGAAAGAGTGAAAGAGAGAGAAAGTGGTGAATGAAAATGCGTGGCATTTTTCTCGAGATCCACAGCGAGCCGTAGATATGTAATATGTTATATAAATATAAAGTGTATATCTATGTATATGTATATCTATAAATATAGTAGGAACGAATTTCCCCAAGATGGGGCCGGCATTGTGTGAAAAACAAATCGGCCCACGGACACGTAACTGCGAGAACGATCATGGCGGCATGGTTGGTCTCGACGCGATACCTGCCTGAAATTTGGGTCGATTAATGGGATCGTTCTAGCCACGTGAGAAGCTAGGAAGGATCGGTAACGACGTGAGATGTTTTTCGTCGTAATATCGACGATCGCATCGCGTCGCCACGATCGTCATCGCCGGCTGAAGAGCACAGTTCTCGATCGGCGATCTTATTGTCTGACACAACACCGCAGTACACACGAAGACACCTTTTCTCTTCAGATCTTTTCGTTTTCTTTTTCTTTTTTTTTTTTTCCAATAAAAGCAGATACGCATTTTTACCAAAGATTTTGTATTTGCATCTCCTTTCTTATTAGTTAGTTTATTCCTTGCGACGCGATTTTACAACGGCGCGTGTATTTTGCACTTTGGAAGGAAGAACAGTGTACTTCCATTGCATTTAAGAGAATTTGTAATGGGTAATGCGAGTTGATACGAGTTTGGAAGTCGTGAAATGATTTTATCAAGTAATTTGTTACGCCGTACATACATCATGTACAACTATTACAGAAATTAGTTTCAATATATTTATCAAGAAACAGATGGAAGTTACGTTACTATTACTGTTACTATTATGAATCATATTATTATTACTTTCTTTTTTGAATATTAAAATACTCATCAATATTTCTTTTTTAAATATCAAAACATTGATCAAGTTAGAGCATACCCAATCTCATAAAATCATGGAAAAGATCATTCAAGATACTTCAACTGAGAACATACATTCAAATTTCGAATAAGCAAAGATCAATTTAAATGTATTTTTCTGATTGTATACTGGCATAAGAACATGTAAGAGGTGACGAACGCCGAAAAAATGGACATGGTATAGAAACACCGTGGTTGATTAGGAGACTGCACACAGGCAACTTGAGTGGTTACGATCTGACATATTCTCGATGATTAGGCGCCAGATCGGCACTGCGATTTCTCATGCGAGCGCCATTGCAACTATCTTCAGGTGCATGAATTATTCCATGGGAACGGACGCTGCTTGTCGATGGATCGAATTGAGGCGCCACGGTACACCGGACTTCCGGTTTCGCGGAAAATGCAACTCTCGTAGTAATATTACGTAACCACAAACTTGGCCTAGAATATATGTTCTTGATTTGTCGCATAGTTTTGAAACTATTTTAATTTAACATTTTTTTATCGTGTCCGACATTTCCGACGCAATTTTCGTGAAACCATGGACGAAGCCACAGACAAGGTACAAGAATAAACATTGCATCTTACGGACTTTCGTGGCCCCTAGTCTGAAATACCGACGTACTAAAAAATCACTGGTTTTTAGCGCACTCTACGTTGAAACAACGGTGAATTGGGGAACTAGTGAATGCGCCAGCAATATGATTTTTGAGATCCATTACAGTGTTATTTGTAAGCTTTTAACAGTGAAATGTGAAGCTCATCTGTGACTATAATCAAGTAAAATGATACTAGCAAAATGTTTAATTGTATCTCCAGATTCCAAAACATGAGATTAGTATCTAAAATTATTCCATTTTTTTTTTTTATTATGTATTTACGCATGTGTCAGAAAGAGCTCTTATTCGAGTTTTACGAATTCATCGATTTCTCGTTAGAAACGATAAAATCAATATTTGTAACAGGATTTCTTTATTTATTGAAATATATTTAAGATGAAATATATTTAAAATGGACCTGATATTTTAATCAAAAAGGAGACAGAGATCTATCATTTTATCAAATCATATGTTTTGAAATATCCATCAAAATCTAAAGTCTACAGTCTTTTACAGTATTTAAAAATGCACTGTATCACTATATCATAAACAAATTCAATCTATAATTTTACAAATCAACGATCTCCCTAACAAGTCAACAAATCTTTTAATTAGATAAAAATTAAATCGTGGCCACAATTAGTTCTTATTATTTGTTATATAATTCATAATTGTATCGCAATAATGCAATTAGTAATTGTATTACAAATAATAATGTTTACCCACAGGTTTCATCACATTGAAATTGTTATTGAAAGCCATCCTTGTCCCATCTACCCTTCTTTTACTTTAAAAAAAAATTTATTCAACAAAAAAAAAAAAAAGAAACTCCTTTTGATATACGATTGCAAAATGTTTACAATTTCTTGTCATTGTGTAAACGAACAGCAAAAGGAGTTTTAAGAGAAAAGTGAACCAAAGCACAATATATTAAAATAATCAAAGTTTAAATTGAAAATAATTATAACTAAGTTATAATTGGTTTAAAATGTTTTACATGTTTAAAGAAAAAATAAAAGTTGTTTCACATATATTATTCTAGAATGTGCTTATATTGAATTTATAGAGATTAATTATCGTATGATTAAATAGAGGCAACTTAAAATTAAAATGCACGCTTCCCACGATGTCCCTGGAAGATCTTACGACGTTCCTCGTTGCTCTTCGGTGCCCCTGCAAAGGGTTTAATAGTTTACTTATCAACTAATTGGACTGCGTAGTTCTTGCTTGTGATATCATCTTACAAAAATTAAAGTTTGGAAAATGATATCAATTACCAGGTCTCATTACGAAGAAGTGACTACGCTTGAGACCCATCCTAGGCCCTATTCCCATTCATTCTCCATTAAATGCAAGTCTCGGTATTCTACTTGACCCAGAGTTACGTAAAAAGGAGACAGACGTTTCATAGTTCAATCTCAAATTTAAATCTAAATCTTAACTCTGAAACGCAAGACTGAACTTGAACTATGGAACTTTGTCTCCCAACAACGATCGCACAATCAATGAATTCACCTCTTACACTATCTTACAAAGTATCATACAATTCATACAATTGTCCTAAATCATACAGTAAGCTATAATTCTCATATTAAAGATACAAGTATATCAACGTTACACAATAATTTGTAGCCCTGCCAGCACATTCTATATCAAAAACACAGTTATTTAATTCTGTACGAAATAAATGAACCTACTAACAAAAAATGTGTCGTTGTACAGAATGTGCTCACAGTGAATTTACAGCGATTAACTATTCTATCATCAACTAAAACTAGACGCACGCAACTTAATATTAATACGCATGCAATTTAATATTAAAAGGCACGCAATTTAATATTAAAAGGCACGCAATTTAATATTGAAACGCATGCATCCCACGGCGTCCCACGTTGCCTCCGCGGGGGAGTCTAATAGTTCACTTATTCTTCCTACTAATAATTAACTAATTCTTCCTACAGCCCAGTCTAGACTGTGAAATAAAAAAAGGATAAAAGTTTGCAAAACCTAGACCGGACTGGAGGTTGGACTTGATATCGTTTTACAAATAGTAATAATAGTAATATTCAGAGAAATCGAAATTTAGTCCAATAATTTAATCCAAATAATAATACTTTGAAATATAAATATTTGCAAAAATGATACAACCAATGATAATGAGACCACCATGTGAAGGTGACTACGCACAGGTCTCATTACGGTGTATCATACATCAGTACTATTTTACATATTTATTACACGAGTTATGAATTACGTTTGTATTGACTTTGAAAAAAAAAAAAAAAACGAACAATATCCGAAAACGATATAATAGTTAATTTAGAACATCGAAATAAATATTCTTATTAAAAAAATTAGTAGTAAAAGACAAAATTATTTTCCTAATTATAAATTCAACGAAGAATACTTAAGCTGTTTAATATTTGTATTTAAATAGCAATAATATTGTTAAATTAATATCACGTACGTACATATACGCAGAAAGATAAAGTATTACTAGAGGATAGTACTATCAAAATATATCATGTACGAGTACGATTGCAACTCATGGCAATTGCATTCGTATTCAATTTCAAATAATCATGATCAAATATTAACCCAACATCAAAGAAATCAAACCATGCGACTTATTGATTGTTGAACTCAGGAAAATAAAATTTTGGTTGCGTTGCATTTGATTGTGTTCGACGCCTCTGAACATCTACTGATGCTTTTCAAACTCTCTTCAGTAATGTAAACGTTTGGACACAGTCAATAATTTTACTTTTAACTTACTTTTAACACTTTCAACTCATTTTTGATACTTTCAACTCATTCTGATCACTTTTAACACATTTAATACATTCACTTTCAACACTTTTAATACTTTTGTCACTTTCAACAGTTTTTAAATGTTAGATAATGTTTAAACAATTAGAATATTCAGAAATATTATTTAAAAATTCACTTCTAAAATTTGGTCAATACACGACGGAAATTTAATTAGTAATGAGCCCTCCGTATCGGTCAAGATTAATTTGATGTATCAACGTAATGTACGGAACAATTGATAATTTTTGTTAATATTTTGAAAAACAGTTTTTCTATTATGCTAATCAATAATTTAATAATTTTTATATTTCTGCAAAGTTACACTTCTACGTATTTATTTCAATATTAAATATAATAATTTATTAATTTTTCCGGCTAAAACTAAATTTAAGCTTTCATGATACTAATTTTTAAATTATAATTGCATTGATATATATTAAGTAGAAGTTTATGTAGAAAAAACTTTAATATAAATGATTTAATCATTGTAAACAATCGTTAAAGTCACTCAGCAATGTTTTGAAAAATAGTAAAGAATTACTAGTTTGATTGCCATAAATAAATTATGAAAACTGTTAAATAATGCTTGGAACTATTGTAGAAATGTAAAAATGATTTAATTATTATAAATAATCTATTAAAAGATTTAAATAGTGTTCGGAAATACTGCAGGAATAAATATGAAGTTTTATTCGTTACATATCGAATAAGTATTTATCCAAATAAAAATCTCTTTATTATGTTTAGTTAATTATATTTAAGAGTAAGATATAAAGGAGATGTAAAGGAAGATATTTAATATATGAAATAATTTTCCCAATTTCTTACAAAACAAAATTTCCATGACAGAGGATTAATGGAAATGAAATAAAACAAGATAGAAAAAACGAGTAGAATAGAATAGAATAGGCAAATAAAACAAAATGAAATAGACAAATGAAATAAAATAAAATAGAGTAAGAGAATTCAAAACGATTATTCAACAGCCACGTTGCATTCGACAGGCGTCTATTACCGCTGGAAAGTCGCAGCAAGAATGCTTGATCGTTGAAATCACCGCTAGTTACCGTTACTTCACTTCGTGGATCAACGTTAGATAATACGAATTTCAAAATTCTAACGATCGTATAATATTCGATACAAAGCGTGTAAAATTTCGACAAAACGGAGAATCTCCAACGGAAGTCAGCGCGTTGTAAAGAACCGGAAAAGGAGATCAACG